AAATGCATCTTTAAGAACAGATGACCTTGGTTCACCCTTAGCAGCATACTTTGTGAGATATTCAACACAAGCATAATGATCAATTACAACCTGTACATCACAATTTGCTCTCCAGCCTTGCAACTGCACTTGTTGGTGATTATTCACCCTTGAATCATTTCGTCTGGTAACAACTCTTGCTTTATAATGCATGTTGTCATCCTTACTATTAACTTTCTCAAACTCTAATTTAGTCTGTGGACAGTGATCAAAAGGAAAATGGAACCTACATTTTAATTCTGACTCATTAGATTTCTTTCTTAGACAGTAACTTGTGCTACAGCGAGTGTGTCGCTGGACCATATTTAAAAGATCTATATAATCACTATTTTGTTCCTCGTCAGTAATATCACCATGGCATTTTTGGCAAGGGTGAATATTTGGTCGTATCCAGATATTCTCATCTGGTGGGTTGGGGTTAACAGTTGATAACAACCAATCAACATACTGACATACTGTGTCAGCTGCTTTTTGACCAGCTTCAATATCCTGATCGAGTTCTGTTGTGTCAATTAGGATACTATTCTCGTCTTTGACTTTCTGAGACAAGAATCCTTTCAAAGCAGTCTGAGTAAGTTGACACAAGCCTGGGTCATTATTTAGTTTAGCAGTACCATGACAATGAATACTACCTCTACCTTGGTATTCATATCTAAACCAGTGCCATTTTGCACCTAGGGTATTATAAAGCCAGTGTTTAATAAAACATTCTAGCCTTTGAGTAAAAAACCAGTCCACAACGTGTGGATTATTTATTACATTTTGTCGTCTTATATCACTGCTAGAATTGGCTGTATCAGTTCCCAGTAAAGAGTGTAACTCAGGCCAGTGCATATCAGCTGATGAAAATGTAAAGAAAATGGTTGGCGCCCCAACATTCGTGATTATAGCTTTCAGTTCCTCCCTAACTTTATTCCAATATGCATTACTACCTGAAATATTTCCAATATATCTTGATATTTTGGACATGAATGCAGCTGAGTTGTTACCTGCAGCCATTTCACGTAGTTCATCAATAGTGAGATGTGCTTCACCTGGATTTTGCTTGAGAAATATTCCACTCTGTTGCAAAATTCTTTTTCTCTGAATCATATTAAGCGCCCAATATGAAAATCTAGGGTGCTTTGCAAAGCAATAAACCCATTTTGAATCAATGAACTCACCATATTTAATTAAATGTTTAATTCGCTCTGCAAAAGAAACATCTCTCAAAAGGCTTTCATTAGTTGGATCCCCTTTTGCATCTGGGAATAATGTTGGAAAGGCCATTGTGGCTAGGCAAGATATTTGATATTCGTTTAAAGCTTGGTCTCCAACTGTTGGCCATGCAATTGCTCCATTACCTGACAGCTGGTTTCTAACAGCTTCCTTTTCTTGTACTTGCTGTTCACCAACTGGTAGAAAACTACTAAATTCTGTGGAGTTATTATAAACAATGTCCTCATCTGGGTTATCAGTAAGTGGGCCTTCATCAGGCATCATGTCACTATCGTTAATTATATCATCTTCAGTCTCAACAGCCATGAGATCAGTTGGAACACCATTTTCTGGTAAAGAATTCAATGCATCAGTATCTATTTCTAACTCAGCATAAAGAGGATTATTTTGTATCAACCACAATAATGCATTATGTACTTTCTCTCTTCTTACTTTTACATCTTTAAATGTATTGTTTTTACCTTTCACTTTAACCAGAATTACAGATAATGCTCTCGGATATCGTGGCAATGATGTTGCCAGCTCTGTAATACTTTGTGGCAGATTCACACAATGACCTGAGTAACCCCTCTGCCCACCAGGCTTAATATAAACTCTCATAATTGGGAGAGCTCGAGCAATCAACATTTCTTCCACTTGAGTCAAACCCTGTAACTGGACAGGTTGAGGGGATGGAATCATTGAATTTTCAAATGAAAATTTTCTTGGAGATTTCTTATCTCTAGAACACCTTTGGCATACATATGTTTCAGATATTTTTGAAGATGCTTTTACAGGCCATGCTTCTTTACAAATTGTGCATTTGGCTACAATATAATGAATGGATTTGCTAAACTTTTGCATGTTAAATTTTGCCCAAGCTTGTCGGTTCATGAATACCACCATTTGTGATGTCAAACCTTTCAAGATAATCACCCTGATTCTGTAAATTTCTTACTTCTTTCTCGGGTTGTTTTCTCTTTTTGTAGATCCTAGCATTTTCCAACCAAGCTTGTTTATGACTTGCACTCTCTGTTGTTTGTCGCCTTTTGTAAGAAGCTCTATTTGTATTTGCTTTTTGACCTGAAGTGTCTGTTTGTTCTGCTGACTCAAATGCCATTAGCTCAACTGTTACACCTTTTATTTCAAATGGTGTCACACTTCGTACAGGTATAGTATTTTGAAAGTAGGTTACTAAATTTCCTATGCTATCAATTGAAACCAAAACACATTTACCATTTGGATCAGGAATACCGTAAGTATCTCTTGAGTGAGGATCAAAAACTTTGTAAAGCCCTTCAGAAGTTTTAATAATGCTAACACAATTGCTATTTATTGTCAAAAGACAATATTGATATTGAGAATTAAAGAACAAGCTATTTAGCGAATCTTCCAATGAATAGTATGGTAACATGGTAGCATTCCTAAACAAATCTCCCCCAAATGAGGCACTGTAAGTCACATGAAATGTTTGACTGGATACCAAAACATACTCTGGTACTTCAGATAATAGTAAAAATTCTTTTCCAATAGAATTGCTTATGCAAGTATAAAGGTCATTTCCAGAACATAAAATTAAATTCAAGAATAACGAATCCCATTCATTCACATCAGTTTGACTTTGCTGTGTACTATTGATGTCAATGACATGGCAACACATTGCTTGGTAGCATTATGTCTGAATAATCTACCATTGTCTTGGCTAAAATCAGCACAAATAGTTTTGCTTGGGTCAACTACATCATATACAGTAGGCCCAGGGTTTTCTTCAACATCGTTGGCTAATCTCAGTAACAATGGTAAATAAACATTGTCACCAGCTATCTGAGTGAATTTTATTCTGTCTCTGATGATCATTTTACTGTGATATATAACTGTTTTTATTGGCAATTTTCTTATTGACACACAACCTATATATTTGTAACTTTTGATATACAATACCTTGATGACTTGATCTTTTGACAACATGAAACAACTTTATTATTGCCAACGATTGCCCAGCTAGCGAGATCACACTTCGCTAGTATAAAATATAAAAACATAGCGAGTTCACACTTCGCTAGTATAAATATTATAGCGAGATCACACTTCGCTAGCAAGTTTGGTAATACAGGTACAGCGAGCTCACACTTCATTGCTTTTGAAACATATAAAATGAACGGTCCCCTTTGACTTGATTTGACCAAAAGATCCCCGCGAACACACACCAAAATATACACCTAGAAGGGATAGAAATGTTGTAAATGTATAAAGTACAGTCGATGTATATATTTACTGTTTCATATTTAATACTGTAGACAGAAATGTTGTGTATGTAAATACAGTCGATGTACATTACTGTAAAACCTACAGCAATTCAAGATAAATATAAACATATAACATTTCAGGATAACTTACTTTGAAACAACAACCCAAAACGGAAAGAGTATTCGATATTTTTTGAAAAAATGTTGTTGTATTAAACTTGCCAACCACACCACGAGACAGACTCGTCCCCAGTCGTTATTTGAATTTCAATTTTATAGGGACGAATAGGTATATATCCATATATATATATATATTTTCTTCTTTCGCCCTTGCCGTGAGCCTCTACGCGCCCACTTCTGGCCGCGCGCCCGCTCTTAAAGCGACTGGGGACGAGTCTGACCACGAGACTGATTCAGGTAGAAACCGGAAGTTATGCACTGAAACGAATCATACGTCACAAAACGTCATCAATCCATTGTTCTAATCTCGATTTTTTCTCCCTGTCTCCTCCACATAACTCGCGGAAAGCCTGGGACCGACAAAATTAGTATGCTGCCTCTACGAGGCAGCAATTAATCTTATTAAGGTTACTCCACGTGATGGAAAAACCCATTTCACCAAAATGCTCACCGCGCGCTCAATTTTCAAGTTTTCCCCTTCAAATTTTGCATAATATTTCCCATCTCAAATGATCAAAGAAAAAAGCTGTTTTCGCGTTTTTTGACAGGTATTGTATTCGCTTTCGGATGTAAAGCAAACAAGTTGACTCATCTAAATTTAGGGAGAATGGCAGAACAAATGCCTATAACATGAAAAGTATGGCACTAAATAAAAAACGCGAACACGGTTTTGCTCCTGTACTATTGTTCAACATTATGGCAAAGTTTGGTAGGAATCGGATGTGAAACGTGCGCGTTTCTAAACTTTTTTGTGGGGTCTGGGGACAATCTGAGAATATTTCAATCTCCAGATATTAGATTTGGCGGGGGGGTTTGCGCTCTCTGAGTCACCTCGAACTGTAATCAGAATAAAATTAGTAAAGTTTTTTTTGTTTTTTTTTTTAATTTTCGCCCAATTACATAACAATAAGAAGTAGAATTAAATATTTACAAAATTAGGGCTAGGAACCTTCTAGAAACCAAAAGGCTGTTGTTTAAGGTCCCTAGGTAATAATTATATAACTAGCTAAGGGACCGGTCATTATTTATGGTGGGGGGTGGCACCGAAGAGAAAAGGGTTGGGTAAACTAAATTTTGAGTAAGTAAAAGGTTGGGTAAATGAAAAACAAAACAACTCAAGGGTTGGGTAATAAAAAATTATTGTCATTTCCAAAGCATGACTCACTGAAGTATTGGGGACTAAAAAGCAATGGCAACAGTAGGCCCTACTCTGGGGCGATAACGAGATAATGCAAGTTTAAGCAAATTTAGGTGATTTAAGCAAAATCTGCAATTTAAGCAATGCGAGTTTGAGCGATATAGGGCAATGTAAGAGAACAATTAAAATTTTAGGGAATGCTGTTTTAGGTGTTTAGAGGTAATTTCAGGAATATACAACTATATCCCTGATGACTCCAATGAAATTACCATTAACCTACGCCAAGCATCCAAACATAGTGTTCCCACAAACACACACACATGCAGTGTATGAAGCAAAATATACAATTTAACAAAAAAAGTTGAAGTCTGCTTGAGGGGGTTCTGGAAACAAACAACACACTGTATGCGCATGACGATCAAGTGTTTAAAGGGTAAATAAGTTCAATATTCATGACGTTTTCCATCCATTGTCTATTTCGAAGCCATTGGGGTATTATTAAATCCATGACACAACTATAATACATGACCACATGTTCACATCATATGCAATTGCAAACAATTTTCAAAGGAGTAGGGTACAGAATTGCAATATAACAACAAAAAAATAAATTATACATGTCATGAACTTACCAGTTTGTGTTGAGTTAAATTTAAAAATCAAATCATTTTAAAATTCTCGTGTTTTGTTTTGTATTGCGCCCGCGATATATTAATGGTATTAACCGCTGTGAATATGATATACATTTTTAATACATTACATTTGCGCTCAAAAGTTCAGGAAGTGAGTTTCTAGAAAGGATGAAAACTCCGTTTTATATATGGTATGTAAAAGGTAATCGTTGTTTACTGTTTATTTTGTATTCATGTATGGGGAATTTGAGCGATGAGAGTTGCAAAACTTGCAAATGTAGTCTGACTAGTTTCTTTGACGTCATCATGCAACTATTTAATATTGTGCTACGTTCATTATTCAATTTATTCACGGCAATTAGCCTTCTATAAGCCATACAAATGATTATAGCTTATAGCCCACCTTGCCTTTAACATTGATCCTATATATAATGAATTAACATAACTAACTTGATTATGTTGCTAGTCGAGTATGGGACCTATGGTTCTTCTAGGACCTTCTAGATCCTAGAGTAGCACAATTAATATAAAGTCTCCGTAAGGCGGTAATATTAAAGACTGTTCTTATTTATGCATGACCTTTGATAGACTTTCCAAAGTCCTTTCCAGACTTGTAGCAAGTCTAGACCTTTGACTATTAAGTGGCCAAAAATTGTGCCTACAGTAATCAACTTATTCCACTATCCAGGTTGCATCACTTTTGATTGCAAAACACCCGGGTTTATTATACATGGATTTGCTAGCAAAATAGCAGCAATTGATGAACTTGCTGTTATACTAAGATTTACTAAATGTGTAAAGAAACAACGAAAAGTATATATCAATCAGAGTCATTATCTTGATCAATTTCCGATGGGATCTCCAAAGAAAGTAGCTACATGTGCAGACAACATGAAACTTCAGACTGCAGAAAATTTCACAATCCATTATCAAACTTATGTCACAGAAGTGGTAAAGGACATATGTGACAACTGAATAGTACCTTTTGTAAATGTTTTGGCCAGGGGTGGGTATTTATTTTTTAATTGATATTTGAGGTTGGGTAATCAATTTTGTTTACTTTTTAATGGTTGGGTCAGCAAAATTTTTGCTACGAAAAACATTTCTCTTCGGTGCCACCCCCCGCCATAAATAATGACCGGTCCCTAATTTCATAATCTAGCATGCAGTTCGAATGTTGTTTTTTAAAGTCAGGAAATATATTATAATTAATGTACAATACATAACTGTAAAATAGTAAGCTGGAGTTGTATTACATTTGAAAGAGAAAAATAGGTTTTTAACAAATAATGAAGAACGGGATATATATATTTATATATATTGACATTTACAAACATTTTACTGGTGAAGTGGAAAGTGTGCTTTGTCAAGGGTTTTTCGGTGTCATTCACTCATTACGCATGTAGTACCCGTACGGTTGTACATGCGAGAAACCACACAAAAAAAAACTTGCTAATAAGCCGGCGAAACGCAAATGTAGAAAAGGGGATAGCTATACAGAGCGATCTAAATCGGCCAAACGATTCAGTGTCGTGCACCAGGAAGACACAAGCGAGGTTGAAGGTCACACATCGGGTATCGAGTATCACATATATACACATATTGTCAGTTACAATTCCAACTATCGCGGCAAAAGAATCAGTGGTTATAAATTTTTTGTTATATTTCGGACGTATTTTAACATTTTTGAAAAAACTTTGCGGCGATCAAGAGATCTCCAGCCTGAATGTAAATCAATAAAAATGTAAAAAATGATGAAATCAGTGTTTTCATCATATAATGTGACCTTAAATTGTTGTCAATTTGTGAACGGCAGACCAGTATGACATAACAGATATAATGCTTCTAGTGTAGCTTGCCTTTAGTATATTCATCTGAGATGAAGGCGATGAATTAATTACGAATTAGTTAGGTTCTTATATCGGTAGGTCATTGTTTCAGGTCATTGTTCCAACAGTTACTCTGTTTCAGTTCGACCGGAACTGCGTGGTCCATTTCTCCGTCAGCACATTATACTCGCACTTCAAGACTTCAATTAGTTTATGTGCATGAAATATTCAATTCTTAAAAGATTGACATGCGTTCATAATAATCATGAAACGTGAAAAAATAGTGAAAAGGCAAGGAGACAATAAAGCTTGCGATATAAGTTTCGATACAAACATGCGCATAAAGTAACTATTTATTCTTGAAAATAACAGTTTGACGCTTTTTAAATTAAACAACATCTTCGAAAAGTTTTTAGATTGGAATAAAGTAAAAAACTTTAACTTCCATAGTTCTTCCATAGTCGACTACTGTATAACAATACATTCCGTTCAAGCGAACCACAACGCCATTCAACAATTGTCAAATAATGCTCTCCACCATTTTATATAATATAATCAGCATATAATAATAATATAACCTGTCCATTACTGATATCATCATATTTACCTGGTTTCGGCAATCAATCAAAGTTGCG